TGCCCAGCCCTGGATCCCCATCCCTGGGGGGATGGAGCATCCCTGGGGAGGTGGCACTTGGGGACAAGGACAGGGCTGGGGGGACCTGGTGGGCTCAGGGGGGGGATTTTTCCCTTGGGTTCCTCCTCTGGCCGTGGATGCCCCAGAGGTGTCCTGAGGTGACCATCCCGGTGGGATTGGGAAGGAAAGAGGGATCATGGAGGGGCTGGAGCGTGTCCAGGGATGGGAACGGAGCTGGGAAGGGTCTGGAGAACTCCTGAGGGAGCTGGGGGGGGGGGCTCAGCCTGGAGAAAAGGGGGATCAGAGGGAATCCAGGGGGACAGGAGGGTGGATCCAGGTGGGATCGGGCTCTGCTCCCAGGGAACAATGGACAGGATGAGGGGAAACGGCCTCAGGGGAGGTTTATTTGGGATATTGGGAAAATCCCTCCTGGGAAGGGGCTGCCCAGCCCTGGATCCCCATCCCTGGGGGGGGATGGAGCATCCCTGGGGAGGTGGCACTTGGGGACACAGAGGGGGCTCTGAGGGCTCCGAGGGGTTTTCCATCTTCAACCATTCCGTGATTCTGGGAGGGCTGGGAGTCTTCCCACATCCAAAGGAGCCACGAGGCTGTGGCTGCCCCATCCCTGGGAGTGTCCAAGGGCAGGTTGGAGCAGCCTGGGACAGTGGGAAGTGTCCCTGGGACAGTGGGAAGTGTCCCTGGGACGGTGGGAAGTGTCCCTGCCCACGGCAGAGGGTGACACTGGGTGAGCTTTAAGCCCCTTCCCACCCAAAACCATCCCGGGATCCTCAGCACCGGTTTCAGATCCCTCTGGAGCGTCTCCCCTGTTGTTTCCCGGAGGAATCCGTGGTGTCCCAGCCTGTGGGAGGATGGGAAGTGGTACCAGGGCAGACGTGGAGCCCCGGAGGAGGCCGTGGGTGGGCAGAGCCCTCCTGGTGTCCCACGAGTCATCCCGGCTCCAACCTGTCCCCTCCTGGGAGATACAGGGCTTGGATGAACCCCAGGGCTTGGAATGTGTCTGGGAACAGGGGGGGAAGTGTCCCAAAAGGAGGCAGAAGAAGCTGCTTTTCATCTGCTCTCAGAACATCCCAGGGAAGGGACCTGCCCACATTCCCACTTCCCTTGGGAATGCTGGGAGAGGGTCCCTCGGGTGACACTGGTGACACCCGGGGTGGTGCCAGCTGAACCTCCCAGCTGGAATGGGGGGAGCTCATTCCAGCAGGGATCTGGGATCTTTCAATCCACCCCAGGGATGGAGGAGCCCTTCCCAGCAGGAATTTCTCCGATATCCCAAATAAACCTCCCCTGGCCCAACTCGGGGCCGTTTCCCGTCGTCCTGTTCCTCGTTCCCCGGGAGCAGAGCCCGACCCCGCCCCGGTGTCACCTCCTGTCCCCCTGGAGCCTCCCAATCCCCCTTTTCTCCAGGCTGAGCCCCCCCAGCTCCCTCAGCTGCTCCTCAAAAAACCAGAGGACAAAACCATCCCACACCGTTCCCGGCCCGGGAGAGGCTCCTGGATCACAACCAGACCTGGGGAGATCCAGAGGGCCGGGCAGGAGCAGGTTGGGAGACCTGGCTGGAGATGAAGGGAGCCGAGAGCCGTTGGCAAACTGGCCAGGGATGCTCTGCATCCCAACAAAGGTGTCCTGGAAGCCCCTTCCCTCCGTGTGCCGTGGGTGGTCCGGCCTGGCCCTGCGCCTTCCCTTTGAAATCAGAGCCCAATTCCCGGATTCCTCGTGGCCCTGCAGGGACCCCTTGGCATCTGGTGGGCTCCTCTGTCCTCTGCCAGCGCGGGGTGGGATGATCCGAGCGGGAAGAGGGAGCAGGAGCAGGAGGAGGGAGCAGGAGCAGGAGGAGAGAGCAGGAGCGGGAGGTGGAAGCGGATCCAGGTTGTAAAACACTTTCAGAGCTCCTGTGTGGCTTTGCCAGAAGGAAAATTCCTTCTCCTGCCGCTCTGCCGGTGCAATTCCTGCAGATGGAATCCGTGGATAGGCTGGAATGTGCTCCCAGCTGCTCAGGACAGTCACAGCCACCGGTTCCCCTCGGTGGGGGTGAGGATCCAACACCCAGCCCCAGGAATACCTTGGGATTCGGAGGGGCAGGAGCTCTTCCTGCTGCCTCCAACCCATCCCAGCTTTTTAAATCCACAGGGAGGAGAAGTTCATGCATCCCAGTGGAAAATTAAACATCCTTGGTGCTGCTTCCAGGCGCTCTGGGCCGTGGAGAGCTCTGGCAGGGCACGGAATTGTCCTTGTGTTTGGAGTCAGACCCAGCTGGTTGTCTCCCATTTCCTGGGAAGGTTGTTGGCAGTCACTGGACAGCCGTCCCAAACTCTGGGATTATCCCGAGCAAGTTAATTGGGATGAGTTAATGGGGGAATTATCAGATTAAGGTTTAATCCCTGTGGCCTGTTTGACCTCCTGGGGGCCGGGGTTGGAGTCTCCCGGAGTTGTGCTCGGCCAGTCCTTCCACATGAGGAGCTCCACAGAATTCCACGGGAGACACACAGAATTCCTCTGGGATGGGTGCAAGGAGCTGGGAATTTAACCCCTGTTGCCCAGGGCAGGTTCCTGCCTTGGCTGAGATGAGAAACCTGGGAAGCACCAGCTCCATGAGGAGCTGAGGGGAAATTGAGGCCCCTTTGAACCCCGTCCACTCTCCGACGGGAACAACTCCCAAAAAACCCAGGAAACCACGTTCCTCCCTGCAACAGGAGACTCCAGAATCCGGGGTTGGAAGGGGCCTTGCAGCCCGTGCAGTCCCTGCTGGGTGATCCTCCCCCACGGCAGGATTTCCCTCTGGAAAAGCCGGAGCGGGCGGGTCGCTGACGGTCCCTTTTCCCTTTTTTTTTTTCCGGAGCAGAGCGGGAGCAGCTTCCACGTGTTTGACCAGGGCCAGTTCGCCAAGGAGGTGCTGCCCAAGTACTTCAAACACAACAACATGGCCAGCTTCGTGCGGCAGCTCAACATGTGTGAGTGCAACGGGGGCACAGGGAGCTGATTTTCCAGCCGGGATCCGCGCTGGGGTCGGGAAGGTTCGGTGGAGACCAGGATCAGCTCCGTCCTGGGCTGATCCCACGGGCTGGGAAGCAGGGAAAGGGGGAATTCTGCCCCTCTGCCCCCTCGGGTGAGACCCCTCCCCTGCAGCTCTGGGGGTTCCCGACATTCCTGAAGGATGTGGAGCTGCTGGAGTGAATCCAGAGGGGACAGGGAGATGCTCCAAGGGCTCTGGAGCCCCTCTGCTCTGGAGCCAGGCTGGGAGAGCTGGGAATGTTCACCTGGAGAAGGGGAAGGATCCAGGGAGACCTTGGAGCCCCTTCCAGGGCCTGAAGGGGTTCCAGGAGAGCTGGAGAGGGATTTGGGATGAGGGATGGGGGGACAGCACACAGGGAATGGCTTCCCAGGGTCAGGTGGGATATTGGGAAGGAATTCCTGTGTGGGAGGGTGGGGAGGGGCTGGGATGGAATTCCCAGAGAAGCTGTGGCTGCTCCATCCCTGGGAGTGTCCCAGGCCAGGTTGGATCCCCTGGGATGGTGGGAGGTGTCCCTGCCCGTGGCAGGGGGTTGGGAATGGATGATCCTGAAGGTCCCTTCCATCCTGGAATTCCGTGATTCCACAGGACTGTGCAGTCAGGAACGGGATGTGCTTTTTGCAGGATAAGCAGGGGGATCCAGCTCTGCCTGGGCTGGGGATCTGGGAAGCTGGGAAGCTGGGGATCTGGGAAGTTGGGAAGCTGGGGATCTGGGAAGCTGTTCCCTCAGGCCAGGCAGGGCCCAGGGAGCTGGTGCAGCTCAGCCCATTCCCTCTCCTTTTCCCTTCTCCAGTTTGAGCTTCAGTTTGGATCAATCCCATTCCCTGCTCCCTGTTGGAGTTGGGGGCAGAGAAGCCCCCGCTGGTCCCTGGGTTGGATCCCCCCTCTCCAGGGATTCCCAGGGAATGCCCCATCCCTGGGAGTGTCCAAGGGCAGCTTGGATCCCCCTGGGATGGTGGGAGCTGTCCCTGCCCACGGCAGGGGGTGGGAATGAACCTGAAGGTCCCCTCCACCCAAACCATTCCCTGATTCCATGATTGGCCACAGGACCCTCGCTCAGGGGCTTCTCAGGCCGTGCAAGGACCAACATCAGCCCCTTTTCCATGGAAATTTTGGGTGGGTCTCTCGTTCCAAGCAGCATTTTTTAGGATGAGAGTTGTTCCAGAGCCCCGATGGAGCACCAGGGATGCTCCAGGGCCGGGCTCTGCTCCCTGAATTCCCCCCCTGTTCCCTCCATTCCCAGACGGCTTCCGCAAGGTCGTCCACATCGAGCAGGGGGGGCTGGTGAAGCCGGAGAAGGACGACACGGAATTCCAGCATCCCTATTTCATCCGGGGCCAGGAGCTCCTCCTGGAGAACATCAAGAGGAAAGTCACCAGCGTAAGTCCAGGCTCCACATCCCGGGGGGGGAGGCTCAAAAAAACCAGGATTGATCCAAAACCCGTCCGTGTGCCCCCCGGGTTGGGGTGTTGGTGAAGGTGTGGGGGGTGTGTGGGATGGAACACCTGGATCACATTAATTCCCAGTGTATCCCAAATAGGAACCTCCCCGTTTTTTTCCCTCTGAACTCCCAGCTGTGCTTTCCAGCTGCCCCCACATCCCTTGGAATTCAGAGCTGCGACACTTGGCTTTGAAAATTCCCCCAGAGGAACTTTCCCGGGTCAATCATTTAATCCCGAAGTGTGGGCTGGAAAAACAACGTTCTGCTCCTTCTTCTCCCAAGTCTCAATCCCAGGAATGTGCAGATGGAGCAGCTCCTTCCCAGGGTGCTCTCAAATAATCCCGCATCCCACTTTTCCCTGAGGGATTTGGCTCGTCTGGATGGGATTTGGCTCCTCTGGACCTTTCCCCAGTGGGATGTAAAGAGGTCTTGGAGATTTCTGCGGGTGTTTTAACCCCTACCTGGCAGATTCCTGCCTTTCTGGAGCAGTGGGACTCTCCTGGATGTCCTTCCCTGGCAGATTCCTGCCTTTTTGGAGCAGTGGGACCCTCCTGGATGTCCTTCCCTGGCAGATTCCTGCCTTTTTGGAGCAGTGGGACCCTCCTGGATGTCCTTCCCTGGCAGATTCCTGCCTTTCTGGAGCAGTGGGACTCTCCTGGATGTCCTTCCCTGGCAGATTCCTGCCTTTTTGGAGCAGTGGGACCCTCCTGGATGTCCTTCCCTGGCAGATTCCTGCCTTTTTGGAGCGGTGCCCCTGAGTCCAGGGGCAGAATCACTTCCCTGGACCTGTTGGCCACACTGTTCCTGAGCCAGGCCAGGATCCATTGGCCCTCTTGTCCCCCTGGGCACACTCTGGCTCCTGTTCAGCTTCCTGTCCATCCCCACTCCCAGCTCCCTTCCTGCCTGGCTGCTCTCCAGCCCCTCTGGCCCAGCCTGGAGCTGCCGGGGGTTGTTGTGGCCCAAGGGCAGGACCCGGCCCTTGGCCTGGTTGAACCTCATCCCCTTGGAACCAGCCCAGCTCTCCAACCTCTCCAGGTCCCTCTGCAGAGCCCTCCTGCCTTCCAGCTCATCCACACTCCCCCCCAGCTCGGTGTCCCCTTGTCCCCCCCAGGTGTCCAACGTCAAGAGCGAGGACGTCAAGGTGCGGCAGGACAACGTCACCAAGCTGCTGACGGACATCCAGGTGATGAAGGGCAAGCAGGAGAGCATGGACTCCAAGCTGGTGGCCATGAAGCAGTATGTATGTGGGATGGGCAGGACACTCCCAGTGGGGTTTCCCAAGGATTTCTGTTGGTTTTTACCCCTTTTCCCCCCCCCCCCCCCCCCGTTGTGTTTTGTTGGACGTTGCCCAAAGATGCGCCGGGTCGGCCCCCAAATATAATGTAAAGCCAGTTTTTGGGGACCTCTCTGCTCCAGGGGATCTCTTGGGAAGGCTGTAGGGAGTTTCAGGAGCTTCTTTCCCCGGCTGGAATTTGGGTTTTTTTCCCCTTTTGGATTTGTTGTTTTGCTGCCCGACCCCGACTCCCGTGTCCCGTCGTCCTTTCGCCGCTCCGGGGCGTCCTCGGGTGGTTTGGGATAACTCTGCTGTCCCAGTGCTGTGTTCCTGCTGCTTCTTCCCTGTGCCCAGCTGGATTTTTGATGGATAGTCCTCTCCCCAGGGGTTTGCTGGTAGGTTGAGAGGCAAACTGGGGGATTTGAGTCCCACTGAACCCCAATTCCTGACCTGTGGAGGTGCCCAGGGTGCTCTTCCTCCCCCTCGGGGCTCGAGGCCTTGGACACTTCCAGGGATGGGGGGTGGCCACAGCTTCCCTGGGAATTCCATCCCAGCCCCTCCCCGCCCTCCCAGGGAAGGATTTGGGGCTGTGGGTGCCTGATTTCCCTCTATAAATCGGATTTTAAAGCTCTTTTCCCTCGTTTAACTCCCCAGAACGTGGAGTGACCGCTACGTCAGGGAAGTCATTTTCTTCCCAGCTCCTTCATCTCTGCCACTTTTCCCAAGGAATTTGGTTCTGGATCTTAAGGATCCAGCAGCTTTCCCTTCTTGCTGGATGAAGCAGGGAAGTGGGAAGGGGTTAAGAAATTCTTCCCCGGGAGGGCAGGGAAGGGCTGGGATGGAATTCCCAGGGAAGCCCTGGCTGCCCCATCCCTGGAAGTGTCCAAGGGACAGGTTGGAGCGACCTGGGATAGTGGGAGGTGTCCCTGCCCCTGGAAAGGGGTGGGATTGGATGGGCTTTAAGTCCCTTCCCAGCCAAAGCATTCCAGGACTCCATGTGTTGGGATGAAACCCCCCGGGGCTCATTCCCCTCAGGAAGGATCCAGGTGTTCCCTGGGCTGTTCCTGCTCATTAGGAGCAGTTTATTAATTAGCAGGAGCCTGGGAACCACTAGATGGAGTGCAGGGAGCAGCTCTGGGATGTGCTCCCGGCGTTGGGAGCTCCCCCTTCCTTCCAGGAATTACCCAGTTAATCAGGAAAAAAAAAAACAAAACCAACCCAAAAGAGGCCAAAAGAGGTGGGTGTGCAATTCCTGAAATGTGAAATGCTGGAATTGGGGATTGTTGGAAGCCCATCAGGGAAATGGGAAGGTAAAGAGGGGAGAGGATCCCAATTAAACAAGTGATTAAATGATTAAATTACTGCTGGTTCCAGTCCTGGATCCTGGGTTTTTCCAGGTTATTCCCTCCCCTCCACCACTCCAGAGTCAACACCCATCCTCCTTTCTGTAGGGAAAGTGGATTTGGGGGTTCAGCTGCTGCTCCAGGGAATCTCTGGAGCTGGAAGCTGCCGGAATTCCCTGGGAATGATGTCTTTGAATCACGGGATCGTGGAATGCTTTGGGGTTGGAAGGAGCCTTCAAGGCCACCCAAGAGGGCAGGGACACCTTCCAGGTCGCTCCAAGGTCCATCCAACCTTTCTCCCCCCCCCCCCCCCCATCCCGGGGTGGAGGCCTGGAATTCCCGGTGGTTGGATGTAGGAGAGCTCAGTTAGCTGTTGGCTTCGGGGGAAATGTGGATTTCTGGAATAGTTTGGGTGGGAAGGGACCTTTGGAGGTCATCCAGTGCAGCTCCCAGCCAGGGGAGGGTGTGTGTGTGGGAAAAGTGCTGAGTCACGGAGCAAACCTCGGGAACAGCGAGGGAAAGGATGGAAAACCTGCTGAGTAACGAGGGGCTGAACCAGCTCAGCCTTTTTTTTTAGGGACGGGGAAGGGAAGGTGAGGGGATGTGGGAAGTGATTCCAGCCTGAGGAACAGCGGCTCCGGGGTTTTTTAACGGAATGACAGAGGTGAAAATAATTAAATGGAATTAGGGAATAAGCTCCGTCCTCTCAAGTGGGAGGAATTGTTGGAATAATGGGTGGATGACTGAGGTGCAGGTGGGATATTGGGGAGGAATCCTTCCCTGGGAGGGGCTGGGATGGAATTCCAGGGGAATCCGTGGCTGCCCCATCCCTGGGAGTGTCCAGTGCCAGGTTGGAGCACCCTGGGATAGCGGGAGGTGTCCCTGCCCGTGGGAATGGGTGGGAATGAGTGGGAATTCAGGTCCCTTCCCACCCAAAAGTCCTGCAGGTCCCAGAGGTCCCTTCCAGCAGGGAGTGGCCGTTAATGCCATGGAATTCCATGGAATTCCAGCAGGTTCCCTGTGTGCTTCCCTCGGCTCCCCATCCTGCTCCTGCAGGGCCCTTTCCCCTGGAATTGCCGGGAAATCAAACCGTTAAAGCTGCTCCTGTCGGATCCTCGGGAGCGTTTACCTGGATCTGAGGCTCCTTCCCAGCTCCAGGCCTGGAATTCCTCGTGCCCCTGGGGCCTTTAGGAACCGTGACCACCCCGGGAAGGCAGCACTTGGATTGTTCGCCCTCCTGTGTCGGCTGCAGGGACAGGGAAGCGGTTGGAATCCCGGGGAATCCGGCCCGAGGGAGCTCTGGGATTCGGGATTGCTCCGGGTTTTCCCTGAACAAGGCGTTTTTGTAGGTTGGAAAGGCCGGGAAAGGGGGAATTCTGCCCAGCTGGGGTGAGACACACAACCCCCCTTCTGCAGCTCTGGGGTCTGACATTCCTGAAGGACCCCAGAGAGTCCAGAGGGGACACGGAGATGCTCCCAGGGCTCTGGAGCCCCTCTGCTCTGGAGCCAGGCTGGGAGAGCTGGGAATGTTCACCTGGAGAAGGGAAGGATCCAGGGAGAGCTTGGAGCCACTTCCAGGGCCTAAAGGGGCTCCAGGAGAGCTGGAGAGGGACTGGGGACAAGGGATGGAGGGACAGCACACAGGGAATGGCTTCCCAGGGTTAGGTGGGATATTGGGAAGGAATTCCTGGCTGGGAGGGTGGGGAGCGGCTGGGATGGAATTCCCAGAGAAGCTGTGGCTGCTCCATCCCTGGAAGTGTCCCGGGCCAGGTCGGATCGCCCTGGGATGGTGGGAGATGTCCCTGATGGCACTGGATGATCCTGAAGGTCCCTTCCTTCCCTGTGATTCCCTGAAATTCCACGATCCCTCTCCCCAGTTTCCCTCTCTCCCCCCTCAGGCCCCGGGGCAGTGGGGGGTCAGTCGGGAGCCGCCGGTGATTCATCAGCTCCATTGGGCTCCTCGGGGAGCCCCGGGCGGATCCGTGGCTCTAATTCCAAACACGTTTCGGGGGAGCAGGAGCTGCCCCCGTGTCTGCACCTGCTCTCTCCGCTTCCCCCGCGTCTCCAGCTGGGATTTCTCCGTCTTTGGAGCTGCCGGGCGGACTCCGGAGCTCCCCCTTCCCCGTCCAGACCCCGACACTTCCCGAGGCCCCCGTTCCAGCGGGATGGAGCAGCCAGAGCCCCTCCTGACAGACATAAATCCGGCAGAGCCGGGGCTGGGCCTCTGCCGAGCGATCCCTCGGCTCCGGAATTGTTTTACCGGCTGCAGCCGCCGGTAAATCATCCCGGGATAATCCCGACCCCTGGAAGCGGCTTTATGGCTTCGGGCTTCCCACATCCCACATCCCCATCCCACATCCACATCCCACATCCCTGGCTGGGGGAGCAGGTTTTGCAGGAGCACACGTGCTGGAGACGTCGGATCCAGCGGCTCCAGGGCAGGGAAGAGCCGAGTCCGACCTGGGAGCGTTTCCCTCCCACCTTCCGGGGGCTTGGGAAGCTCCTGGAAACTCCTGGAAACCGGCTGGGGGATGAGGAACTGCCCGGGTTTAGTCCTGGGTTTAGTCCTGGGCTTGGAATTAGGCAGAGCTTTGCAGCCTGGTTTGCTCTTCAAGGGAAAAGGGGAGAAGGGGAAGGGAAAAAGAGGGGAGAGGGTGAAGGAAAAGGGAGGGAAAAAAAGGAAAAAGGGGAGAAGATTAAAGGGAAAAGGGGGAGAAGGTGAAGGGAAAAGGGGGAGAAGGTGAAG